TCTAGCCATATCTATAAATTGATAGGCTCATTCAAAATCATTTTTATTTACCCTTGAAAATCTTTAAGTTAGATTGTTTAGTTGAATTCAAACACCTATAGTATTTAGATGCCAATAAAATATTCACCTCTGACAGACAATTAAAAAAAAGGATACAAAGGAAAGATCATTTTGTATTTATATATACAAAATAGGATAAATTTAAGCAACTTTCGCTTAATTCAATAAGAAGAGGTGTACTAACAGTGTTTGGACAGAATATCCTGTCTGCTTCTCGTACTATGGATAACCACTAAGAAGATAACAGTGTACAATGTATTGATTATCAAAACTGTCCTGTTATATTAGGACAGTGCCAGAGAGGAAGGGCCAGGGATCAGGTATACACAGTACCATTGTCGGGCCTCCGTGGCCCACTCAGGTACACCCAAAAGTATGCTTTCCTGAGCCCCTAGGCAGCTCACACACCAATCACGTTGGCAGTCCAGCTTGATACCAAAGAGGCGAGGGTTTTTAGTGTGATGATGGATGATTCTAAGGGTTTTGGGATTAACCTGGAAGATTGGGAGTTGACAGCAGCTGGAACAGGAAAGAATGGAGGACATGCAACCTCCAGGAGGGTGGGGAAAGATGAAGACAGACCTTGAGGTGGTGAAGTTTGACCTGAATATTAGCATCCAAGTAGGGACATTGAGCACTGCCTTTTGGCTTGGGATGTAAAGTTGGGGGTCATCCATTATTAGTGAAGGAAAGAAGCGCAGACTGGATCTAGAAAATCCAGTTAAGTAATGGGCCGGTAGATATCATGCTGGGAGTTGGGGTCAGTTTTTAAATTCTCAGAGGCCGGGGAGATAGCTCAGTAGGCACAAGGGCCTGAGTTCAATCCCTGGTCCCAGGGGGAAAAAAACTTTTTAAATTCTCTGAGTGAAATAGGGCACTAGGCCATCTGCTGGGAGGGTGGGTGAGAGAGGTCATGGAGATGTGGAGGAGGGGAGTCAGCTGGTACCTGTCAGTCAGTCAGTTGTCCCTAGCAGACAGAGTCAGCAACACATGCTGGGCTGAACCAGTACTGGGCGTTTTCCATCACAAGGGAGGGCAGCAAAGTGGTTCTGTAATGAGGGGTCATAATTTAATCTGGCCACAAAGGGAAATAAGCACCTTAAGGTGGGGAAGAAAGACTGAGTAGTAGTAGTAAAGCAGTGGTAGAGAAATTTTGGACTCAGGGTAAACTGGGAAGATAAGTGGTGCTTGAAATTGAAATATGGGGAGCCTGCTGTTATGGTAAGAACAGCACTAGAGACAAGACTAGAGTTAGAGCTGAAGGAGGGAGGAGGACAGACTCTCACCCAAGAAGAGGAGAAATGAGACATGTCCATGTGATTTTTTTTTTTCAAGAAAGAGAAAGGTTTATGACTATGTTGTTTGGTCAATTTTTCATGCTTATATTTTGTAACCTGAGCAACTACTTTGAAGATAACAATACGCAGTGTACTAACCAGTGTTATTTTCCTACTATTTTGTTTTGAAATTTTATACCATTGTTTTTATTGGTTTTTTTCCTCATCTTTACAGTTAAAAAAAAAAAAAAGGTGAACTTTTCCCCCATGCATCGTTATCAGAATTTAAAGAGAAGGAAGAGGATTGGGGTCAGGAAAGAGGGTCAGAGAAGAACATGTAATACTTGGTTGCATTTTTCTCTTATCTACCTTATTGTCTGCAAACCAGTGACCTAATCCATACATGTGGCGGTGCATACAGTGAGCATTCTTATAGCTGGTCTTCTCCTAATGCAGTAACTTCCTATATTCATGTGGCAGGAATGAATGCATTCTTGGATGATCCAGAGTTTGCTGAAATTATAGCAACAGCAGAGCAAGCAATAGAACTTGGAGTTTTTCCAGAGAGAATCTCTCAAGGGTCTAGTGGAAGTTACTTTGTAAAGGATCCTAAGAAGGTGAGAATTTCACAGACCTACTGTATATTGCTGAAATTTTGGAAAACACAAATTTAAATGTGAATCCATTGTGCTTCTTTTTTTTTTCTGTTAAATCTGATTGCTGCTTTTCTAAAATCAGGGCCATTTTTTTCTTTTGCTAAAGCATTCCACTATATTGAAATAGAACTAATCATTTCAAACTACAGCTCGCTGTTTTGATATATTTAGTTTTGAGCATTTACTAAATGCCTACACTCACCTGTAGATTTGTTGAGCATATATTTTAAGTCCTTACCTTGTAGAAGCTTGTACTACATTAGCCAATATAGTACACATGGCTCAGGTATGCAGCAGCGCATACCTGAGTACTTGGGAGATTGAGGCAGGAGGGTCTCTGAGAGTGGGAGGCCACCTGGACCATAAAGGGAGTTCAAGGTCCCCCTGAACTGCATAATGAAACCCTGTCTCAAAACAACACAACAACAACAAAACTATATTAGCGAACCACTGTGGAAGTTTATACTTTCAAAACCTGTTTGATGTCATTTCTAAGTATTTGACTTTTCTCCAAAATATTTTGCCCTAGGAGTATTTTCTCTGATGTCATATCAAGGGGAGGACACTGGAAAACCTGAAGTTTAAAAGGATTGGATTCTGGGCCTGCTGTGCCGGCCCTACCCCCATTGCTCGCTGATAAGGCAGTTGAGACTGGGCATGGTGGTGCATGCTTGTAATCCCAGCTCTTGGGAGCCTGTAAACAGGCAGATCCCTACAAGTCTGATCTAGTAGTGAGACCCTGAACACCCTCTAGACCCTTCCCTAAAATACAGAAAAAATAAATAAAACTATATTACAACGAAGTAAAATTTAATAAAATGTAATTGTAGAGTAGAAAACAAGTTGATATGATACTTTCTTCCACTTAGTCTAGAATCTTTCAGAGACACTTTTATCTTTTCTAAAATCTTTTTGAATGATGATCATAAATAAGCAATTTCCTCTTTTTTTTTTTTTTTTTTTAAGTATTCTAGGGAAGGGTCTACAGGGTGTTCAGGGTCTCACTACTAGATCAGACTCGTAGTGATCCACCTGTGTTCAGCCTCCCAAGAGCTGGGATTACAAGTGCGTGCCACCACACCCAGTCTCAATTGCTGCCTCAGTGCACCCCAAGGGCAGAGCAGGCCCAGGGATTGAACCCCAGCCCTTGAGCCTGCTTGCAGGCGTTTTAATCCGCTCTAATTTCTTTTTTTGAGAGGGAAGAAAGTATATAATAACTACACTCAATTTTTTCTTGAAAAGATTAAAGTTACATTTTAAAAGTGGTTTTTAAAACATTGTCTTTTTTCTTTAAAATGTAAATATATTAATAGGTATCTGGTTGCAGGGGTGCCTTAGGAGGCTGAGGCAGGAGGGGCCCAGGAGTTTATAACCACCAGCCTGAGCAACTTAGCAAGACCTTGTCTTTTAAAAAATAAAATAAATGGAATTATGACATCGATCTCTCCATCTTTATTCTAGACTTATCTTGCTTTTCTTTGTGTGTGTGTGCATGCTCATGTGTGTGTATTTGTTTTTGCTTTGTGCATGCTAGACAAATGCTTACCATTGAACTACATCCATCTCTAACCTTGATTTCTTATTCGTACTGATTTTTTCAGATTTTGTTGTTACAAAAAATTATGTATTTAAATTTATGTGGGTTTTATTTCTTGTCTAAGGATAATTCAGCCCCTAAGTGTAACATAAATAAGCAGGGCATGGTGGGGCACACCTGTAATCCCAGGACTCAGGAGGTTGAGGCAGGTGGATCCTTGCATGTTTAAGGCCAGCCTGGGCTACATACTGAGTTTTAGGCCAGCCTGATCTACATGTTGAGACACTGTCTAAAAAATTAAAAATAAAAAGTAAATTAATATGAATATATGTATCAGATCATTACTGAAGATTGTAGGGGCTTTTAGATATCCATTAGCACATTTAAAATTGACTTGTGAGAAATATAACTGGAGAAGTTTTAGTGTGGGATAATCTGACCACACAGATGTTCAGGATACCATATACCATCACATTTATGTTTTGGAGAACTTTTTATCATTGGATTTATTA